TGTAATAATAGTGAAATAAAGATATAAACAGTATTTGACTGAAGAAGCCTACTGAGTAGGCGAAACGTTTCATGCCTAACATATAGGCATGGCCAACTTTCACATGTGGATTTGCCCATTATGATATGGCCTACGTCTGCTTCACCTTACCTGCCTACAGTATATAAGCCAAGTAAAAGGACACAAGTGCAACTTATGTGACATTTTATTTTGGCAACGTTTTGGTAATTCTACCAACAATAATACAGTATATAAGCCACCTATTCGCGCATATGCTGTTTTCGTTTCAAGATTGATGGACTGATTACATCGACTCCAGGCTGAGGGACTGATTATGTCAAGCTCCTGATCTTCACCATTTTTCTTTGTATAGGACTGATGAAGCCACTGTGTGGCGAAATGTTTCCTTAATAAAGATACCCAACTGTTGCTGATGTGTCAGTCTTCAACTTGTTGGTATTTTATATAATTTTCAACAATTCCTTGATTCCGGTGAGGGGCTCTTAATCCAAGGAAACGGGTCTGCTCTTCTTTGGGTCAAATCTGAACGACTCATTCCTTCCATAGGCGCTGCTAGACCCCTACGCGTTTAGTGCTTTCCCATGAAAGTAATAATAATTTGGGTAAATATACTATTTTTTTACGATGGTTTTGGCACGCAGATGTTATGGGCACAAAACTTACATTATGTAAATTTAACCTTGGATAACCCAATAAAATGTTTTCTTGCCATGGTCCAGTAGACCTACTATATGAAGAATTGAGACACTTGTGCAACATATGGAAATCTTTATTGAAGAAATGTTTCGCCACACAGTGGCTTCAGTCTAATAGAAAGCAGGAAGGTATAAGGAGAGGAGGAGTTGAGGTAATCAGTCCCTCAGCATGGAATCGATATGTTCAGTCCATCACTCTTGTAGGAAGTACAGTATAGGGCCGGAGAAGTGGCATATGTACTGCAGTCAGGTGAATCGAAGCAGGAGGAGGCGGGATCACAGTAGAACCATCCACTAGTGTAAGTAGGTCTTTGTCCAAAGATTGGACAAGTGTTGAAGATCCCATATAGTCGTGGAAAAAATACTTATGTAGGCCTGTTGGCCTACATAAGTGTCCTGCAGTAGGCCAACAGGCCTACGTTTGTAATAAAGTTGGTAGAATTACCGACAGTATGTAAAGTAAAAGGACACAAGTGCAACTAATGTGACTTTTTATTGTGGCAACGTTTCGCTCTCCAGGAGCTTTATCAAGCCATTACCTACATTGATTAGGTAATGGCTTTATCAAGCCATTACCTAATCTACATTGATAAAAAAGCTGACCTTTCAGAAACAGGCCGAGTATGTCAGATCCCGTGCTCTACTCAGACTCAACGCCATGAGAGCCATGCAGGGGCAAGCAAAGATGTACTTCGTTTGTACTATATACAAGCTATACGATCGCTCATTGACTACGGTGCACCAGCGTTAACTCATCTCTTCCCGCAGAGCAGGCAAAGGGTGGAGGTTGTACAAAACCAGGCGAAAAGAACTATGCTTGGGGCCCCCATCTGGACCAACACAGTATGTCTCAGATCTGAGGCCCGGCTTCCTTCCCTGGCTGACAGAGTAAGATACATAAACGCCTGCAAAGTAGCCACGATTCTGCACCGGCAGCAAGGTACCCCACTAAGAAGACGGATTTTGACAACCATGACACAAGATCTAACTCCCTTCACGGACTACTCCTGAATTCGTTCGTATTGTGCAAGAATGGTATATAATACCGACAAGATGAAATTAAGACACATGTGCAACATCTGGGTATCTTTATTGCATTGATAAAACCACTGGATGGCGAAACGTCTACAGTAAAGATACCCAGATGTTGCACATGTGTCTTGATTTCATCGTTCGTATTGTGCTGCTGGGCAGAAGCTGCTGCCTATACAATTACTCCTTGAGAAGAGTTGTGACCTTCCTGTTGCTGGGTACCATCCACCACCTCCCTGGCGCCCAGATCCGGCCGATTTTTGCGTCATGCAGCTACCTACCTACCTCTAAGCGTCTCTGCAGTCAAGACACCCTCAACAATCATGCTGAGACAAGCATGGCACTGGCAGAGGGACGCACTTGTATTTCACAGATGGACGCAGTGTACTTCACAGATGCTTCTGTCGACCCTGACAGGAAAAGACCAGCAGCTGGACTGTACCACAATGGTCGCACACAGGGTTGGCGACTCCCTGACCACTGCACGATCCTTCAAGCTGAGCTGGTGGCGATTCAGCAGGCATGTCACATGCCCTACGACATCGACTCCGACCTGTCATACATGTTGACTCCACCTTTGCAATCAATGCCCTCTCCCATCCCCAACCACAGGACAATGTTCACCTCATCACATCGATCTTGAGCATAATGACAGCCTTAGAAGTTCAGGGTAACAGATCGACATTGAACTGGATCCCCAGCCATGCTGGCATCCGGGGAAATGAGGCGGCAGATGATGCAGCCAAGGTAGCTACAGATTATCCACATGTTGGGATTGTTGTCACCAGACCAAACTGGTGGCCGGCAGAGCAATGAAACTTTTGGGGGAGATCCTAGGTGATACCCCATCTCAACACTGGTACCGAGCAGCGACTCAGGGAGAACCCCTTCCATATGATAGAAGATGGTCCAGAGCGCATTGTATCGCCATCCATCGGCTTCGTTTGGGCTTTTCCACAGCCAAGATGATAGTAGACAAGGCAGAGATGTGCCAGCACGTTGTCCAGCGCCCCCTAACACACTATCTCCAGGAGTGCCAAGCTACTGAGACACTCCGCAGGCAACTAGCACTAACGTCCCCTTCCGAAGAAGACCCAGAGAGGATTGCGGCTACACTAGTATACCATGGAGTCAACGAAATAGACAAGCTGTTGCCCGTGATAACGACATATCCTCCTCCTCGCTAGTGTCCACAGTTAGAAGTACATACGGTGTTGTCGCTTATGAGACGCACCAGATGAACGACCAGAACAGTGCTTGAGCAGCATACGTTGCAACATTGCAGAAACCTTTCTCCAGCCAGAGACGGGTCATCACAAGATTAAGACACGTGCCAGGACTCCGGTCTTGGCAAACATTATACATACATACCTATGCTGTACTTCCTACAAGAGTGATGGACTGAACACATCGATTCCAGGCTGAGGGACTGATTACCTCAATCTCCTCCTCTCCTTACCCATTTCTACTTTGTATTGGATTGATGAAGCCACTGTGTGGCGAAACGTTTCTTCAACAAAGATTCCCATATGTTGCATAAGTGTCTTAATCTTCAACTTGTCGGTTTTAAACCATTTATCTCATCTTATTGTATTATATCGTAATGTATTTATTTAAATAATTTGTGGGCTCTAACTTACGCTGCTCTAATTTAAAAACAAATACGATAGGCATATCAGTGGTATTATTGTACATACCTACAAGTATACTAGTAAGATATGAGGTTTATGGCATTTAAGACCTGGGACGGTGGGCGAAATGTTTTTTCAATAAAATGTCGTTTGTAACGGTTTGATAAAGCTCCTGAAGAGCGAAACGTTGCCACAATAAAATGTCATATTAGTTGCATTTGTGTCCTTTTACTTAAAATGCCATAAGCCGCATAATTCTTCTGTTTTGTGTGCACGTTAAGAGTCTGTTTGAGTTGCCTGGGTTGAGCTCTGGCTCTTGGGCCTACTTAAGTATTGCTTGACGTAAATTATCTTAATAATAAAAAGAAGAAACTTGGTTTCTATACAAGGTGACGTCAATAAACTTTAAAACTTATAAACCAGCTGAACATTGGTGGTAAATTATGCAGAATAAAAACCAAGCATACCACAAACATGTCAGTGTTGCTTATTTGTACCTAAGTCCACCAAGATTAGCGTGGTTATATTTATGCTCAAACACTTGTATGGAGGCAGCATGTAGGTGTGGTTGGTGTACGTGTGTGTATGCACGTGTGTATAGGTACCCGAGCCCAACCCAGTCAGCGGTTTAGGCCGCAGTCAGGCTAGGCCTATGAGGGTAGGTGAAAATTAGACACACGTACAACATCTGTGTATCTTTATTGTAGACATCTACAGTAAAGATACCCAGATGTTGTACATGTGTCTAATTTTCATCTTGCCGGTATTGTATACCATTCATGTACAATTTTGAGGGTAGGGCTAAGACATCGGCCCTTCCACATTCATCTTCCTTGAGAACTGTCTGCAGGGCTAACACAATCCTGAAACACGACTGGAGGGCTGGGTTCATTGAGATTTATCAGTGGATATGCGTTCCTAGGCAGGCAGTAAGAGCCTAACATGAACACCTGACAAACACACATCCGCCTATCCTGAGGCTGTAAGTTATACATCTACCTGTCACTAGATAACTTAGATGCCAAGCTACACTTTATGAGTCTTAATATGTGCTAAAGTTATTGATGCATTGAATTATTTCCTATACGTAATCACGCTTCACTGGTTATTGAATATATGCAAAGTATTAAAACCTAAATATGTGAATTAGTAGTTAGTTCGTAGTATTTCTTGTATTACATCTGGTCAGAGATTTCAAGAACTTAACGCGGATGAATAAATACCTGCCCCAACTCTTAAGAAACTTTTAAACAGCGATTAACGAACGCCACCTGTATAAGGGTGCGTACTTTGACTTATAGTAAATGGAAATAGGCAATGGATTTTATACAGGAAATTCGCTACGCTTTATTAATAGGTTGTAAGTAGTAAAGGTGAGCAGCACTAATTTCTTGTGGGGAGGGTGGTAGTGCGGTCGAGCTCAGGAGAGTTGCTTCTGATGAATTTTATATCTTCTGAACCTTGTTTATTGTACTAGGATAATAATATAGCATGGTTTTGTTCAAATAAGTACGTAGAATGGTATCAGTTAGTGATAATAAGAGAGAAAAGAAGAGGCTTTAAGCGACAAATGTAAGAGAAAACGTAGTAGTAATGTAGTGTGTGGTGTGAGGCTGGTGGTGTGGGGCCGCGGGAGCTGCCTTAATAACACAAGAGTTCACAAGTGTACAGGCATGTGAGGTGACAACACCGAGTTTTCACACAAAATCTACGTGATTTTGTTGTGTTAAATTCTACTTTGCTATACTTATACCCGTCAAGTGCTTTTTTGTAGTTAATTAGCTCTTAGAAATTTACGCCTGGAGTGTATATGAACGAACGCGGTAGGCATCGTAAGAACAGTGTACAAAAAAAAAAAAAGAGAAAAGGTAATGAAATTTGGTGGATGTTGAAGTGTTGTGTGTAACTAGCGAGGGTTAGTTGTGGGAGGCGCTAGACAACCCTTCCCTCCGTCACACAGGAATGTTTTAAGTTATTCCTGTGACGGGGTCTCAAGGGACGACCCTCCACCCACCAACTATATAATAAGTAGAAGAAACCGCGTGAACACACTACATAAAGTGTATGTAAGTCAAGATGTCGAACTACAAGTCTGACTGCAGGAAATTTCAACCCAACATCTTCAACAAGAGTAAATGCACCAATTGTTTCCGTCAGCGGGAGGAGCACTCTGCAGAGGCTCTTGAATCTAACAGGGTAAGTCACATTTTATTTTTTAAGTCCAGCCCTTCAATTGCCTGCATGCCGGTGAACAACTCGTGATCCAAGGTAGTAGAGCTTACCCTTCCTTGTATCAAACTTGATTATCTTCCATTTTCCCAGGCGAGGCATGACAGGTACAGGCTTAACACTTCCAGGTAAGTCTAAACACTAAATGTTTAATTTTCATGGGTTATCGTAGTTAAATCTGCATGACTTGACACCAGTGCATGACTATAACAATCATACTCTTACTGGGACCATTGTGCACATTTAGGATGTTTAAAGTCTTGACTTAAATAAAGTTATTCTTAACACTAGGCTCACGCAAGTCCTTAACGGTATGTTATAGTTTTTGTTGTATGCAAGTTTTTATGCTGAGGTACTCCTGAGGTTACTGATGTTTTGTGCTGATATTGCTGAGTTTTGCACTAATATTGTTGATGTTTTGTACTAACGTTGCTGATGTTTTGTACTGACGTTACTGATGTTTGGTACTAACGTTGGTGATTTTTGCAATGATGTTAATGTTTTGCAATAACGTTAGTGATATGATGAATGGTTATGAAAACCGACAAGTTGAAGATTGAGACACTTATGCAACATATGGGAATCTTTAGTGAGGAAACGTTCCGCCACACAGTGGCTTCATCAGTCCAATACAAAGCAGAAAGGTGTAAGGAGAGGAGTTTGAGGTAATCAGTCCCTAAGCCTGGAGTCGATGTGTTCAGTCCATCAATCTTGTAGAATGTACAGCATAGGGCCGTAGACGTGGCTTATATACTGTAGTCAGGTGAGGCGAAGCAGGAGGAGGCGGGGTCATAGTGGTACCATCCACTAGTCGAAGTAGGTCTTCGTCCAAAGGTTGGACTCCAGACTGAGGGACTGATTACCTCAAACTCCTCTCCTTACACCTTTCTGCTTTGTATTGGACTGATGAAGCCACTATGTGGCGAAACGTTTCCTCACTAAAGATTCCCATATAATGCATAAGTGATCAATCTTCAACGTTGGTGATGTAAAGTAAACGGACACAAGTGCAACTAATGTGGCATTTTTATTGTGGCAACGTTTCGCTCTCCAGGAGCTTTGTCAAGCCGTTACCTTGGTGATGTTTTGGACTAACGTTGCTGATGTCTTTTCACTAACATTGTTGATGTCTTTTCACTAACATTGTTGATGTCTTTTCGCTAACATTGTTGATGTCTTTTCACTAACATTGTTGATGTCTTTTCACTAACATTGTTGATGTCTTTTCACTAACTTTGCTGATGTTTTGCACTAACATTGCTGAAGTTTTGCACTGGCGTTGCTGATGCTTTACACTGACGTTGCCGACGTTTTATACTGATGTAACTAATGTTTTACTCTGATGTTACTGATAATTTACCATGACGTTACTGGTAATTTACACTAACGTTACTGATGTTTTACAAGAACATCAGGTAAGAGCACTACAACAGACCTACTGGCCCATGCTAGGCAGGTCAAAGCTGTCTACCGGCCTAAGCTACTGGCCAAAGCCAGTCAGTTGCAAATCACACTGACGTTGACGTTACTTTAGTTTTGCTCTAACGTTACTGATGCTACTGATATTTAATGTTACTGAAGTTTTGCGCTAACGTTACTCATACTTTACACTTACGTTACTGATGTTTTACGCTAACGTTACAGATACTTTACTCTGAAGTTACATAAGAAAGAAGGAACACTGACGTTATATAACATAAAGAAGGAACTGCAGCAGGCCTACTGGTCCATGCGAGGCAGGTCCAAGTCACTTACCGGCTTATGCCATTGACCCAACCTAGCCAGGTCCAGGTCACATCCACTTAAGAAGGAGCACGGCATCAGACCTACTAGCACAAGATAGTCACGTCCAACTCACACCGAATTAGACACATGTGCAACTCTTGGGTATCTTTATTGAGGAAACGTTTCGCCACACAGTGGCTTCATCGGTCCATACATAGGAGAAACTTGAAGAACAGGAGGAGAATGAGGTAATCAGTCCCTCAACCTTGAGTCGATGTGGTCAGTCCATCAATCTTGATTCTATTCAAGATTGATGGATAGACCACATCGACTCAAGGTTGAGGGACTGATTACCTCATTCTCCTCCTGTTCTTCAAGTTTCTCCTATGTATGGACTGATGAAGCCACTGTGTGGCTAAACGTTTCCTCAATAAAGATACCCAAGAGTTGCACATGTGTCTAATTTAACATGTCGGTTCTTTGAACCATTCATCTACAACTCACACCAACCCACACTCAGTCATGTATCTGTCTAACCTATTTTTAAAACTACACAACGTCTTAGCTTCTATGACGGTACTCGGGAGTTTATTCCACTTATCCACAATTCTATTATCAAATCAATGCATTCCTATATCCTTCCTCAGTCTGAATTTTTCAGACTTAAAACCATTGCTGCGAGTCCTATCGTGGCTAGATATTTTTAGCACGCTATTTACATCCCTTATATTTATTCCTGTTTTCCCATTTATACACAATCATATCCCCCCTAATTCTACGTCTTTCTAGAGAGTACAGATTCAGGGCCTTCAGTCTATCCTCATAGGGAAGATTTCTGATACATGGGATCAACTTTGTCATCCTCCTTTGTACGTTTTCCAGTGCATTTATATCTATTCTGTAATACGGTGACCAAAACTGTGCAACATAATCTAAACCAAATCTAACCAAAGATATATAGAGTTGAACAACTTGAGGACTAATGTTATTCATGTTCCTTGATATGAAGCCAAGGATTCTATTCGCTTTATTGCGAACATTTATGCACTGTTGTCTTGGTTTCAGATTACTGCTAACCAGAACTCCTAAATTCTTTTCGAAATCAATAATTAAGATCTACATTATTTAGTTTATATGTGGCATGGTTATTTTCCAGTCCAACATTTAGAAATTTGCATTTGTCTATATTAAACTACATCTGCCACTTCTCCGACCACTGCATCAGTCTGTTCAAATCTTCCTGGGGTGCTCTGATGTCCTAATTAGAATGAATTGGACTTCTTATTTTGGTGTCATCTGCAAATTTGCTTATGTAGCTTTATTACTGATGTTTTATTCTGAAGTTACTGAAGCTTTATTATTGATGTTTTACTCTGAAGTTACTGAAGTTTCTTATGGGGGTATTGTCGCTTTTTTGAAAAACCTAATTATTGAAGGTTAAAAAAATCACATACAGCTACCTAGGCCTTCCACGACAACTATATAGGCCTGCCACTACAGCTACAAACCTACCATTACAGCCACGGTCTACAATTATAGGCCTATCATTGCGGCTACATTATCTTATTACAGTATATAGGCCTATTATACCATAGGCCTACCACTAACTGCATAGGATTAGCTCTAACGCCGCTTGGGACTACCACTAATTAGGCCTATAGTTAACATTACAACTACATAGGCCTACCATTACAAGTGTATAGGTTACACTACAGCTACATATGCCTACCATTACAGCTATATAGGCCTACAGCTATCTAGGCGTACCTCTGCAGCTAGATTATTCAACATCTTGCCAGAAGATATCAGAAACACTGCTGAAAGAAGTGTAGAAGTCTGTTGGTATGAGATAAACCAGGCTGTAATCAATATGTGGGGCGGCGGGCCTCCAGCAGCAACATCCTGATTGACCAGGCTAGCACCAGACGAGCCTGACCCATGGCAGGGCTCCGTGAGTATGAAAACACTCGAAACTTATCAAAGATAAGGTACATCGTTAATTATATCATTGTTTCAATCCCCGCCCCTTCCCCATATACTCACGAGAAGTCAGTATTGAGACTGTAGAAGTTCCATCGTGTTTGACTGACAAGCTGTCAAATGCTTATCACAATGTGTTAGTTATCCCATCAGTCATTCAAGAAGTCCCCGGCGGTAGGTAGTCGCACTTGGTACCCATCACATTTGACAGGTGTGCAAAGCAAGGTGATGTATCGACTTCTCAAGGTGGTTAGGGTTGTATATATGGAGCCGGTAAGGTGTGCCCCACCACCTCTTCAAGATGCCTTAGCATGCATAATACACCAGTGATGGAGCATCTAATTAACACTAGTCGATGGTAGAAAGAAACCTACAAGCAAAGTTGAGAACAGTTAACCTGTATATTTCCATCTCCGTCTGAGACCTTCATCTTCCTACTTTCGCTGCAGAGATCGAAATATACAAATTCACCTGTTTTTCCTTTGTATACACGTGGGTTTCCTCTTACCGCGTTACACCAACTTCCAAAGAAATATAGAGAAAAGTTTCCGCGTTGAAGCAAATTTAAGTAAAAATGGGGTAAAAATTTGGTGTCAAGTTTGGGTGGTTGGAGAGGAGAAAGAGATGGTGATAATGTTGAACAGGTTAGGTTGAGAGTATGGAGGAGAGGATGATAGGAGTGACCGACGTGGTGATCACACTCGCCTGGCTTCAAACACCTTGTCTACTGTAATACTCCACACCACACTCACCGTTGTCCCCCATACCGGTTTACCACTTTCCGAATAATAATAATAAATGCATACATACTACAGTTTCCTACTTATGAAAAATATTAAAACCGACCAAACTCGGCTCTTCTGGGTGGGGGGAGGGGGGGGTTGATGTTAATGAAGAGTTCTTCGTCGAAGGAATTGGAGCTACCGTCCCATTCTTTAAATCATACTTAATTCCTCAGATGCTACATGATCCTTACGGGTTTAACGATTGCAATGACTATAATAATAGGCCTGTTGGAGAAGCCTCGTATGAATGCACTTGACCTGTGCATTAGAACCAAAAATATTTTAATGCCAGTGTACCGTATATAGTACTGAGAAATGCACACCTCTCAGTGTGTGTGTATATATAGACAGATACATCCCGGGTTCAGCGTTTCACTTGATTTAAATAATAATAATAATAATTTCCTTGTTTAGCCTCTGTAATGTTATCGGTTGTCCGTGAAATTCCATGCAACTTTTGCTCGTTACATGCGAAAT